GCCAACGGCGTACGCATTTTACGGATGTGACATTAAATGTTTTGCAGCTTTTGGTCAAACTTATCAGTGTTTGTAATAATAGATTTTGAAACAAGCTGGATTTGATAGATCAACAATTCGATACTCACGTTATCGAAATTTGGAAAAGTTTTTGATATGACGTAGATTTACCATCAAGTGAATCATTTGAACAAACAATTTTGGTGCCATCCACGAATCCATGCATTAATGCAAAGTAACACGTCTTTATTTATCATGAAGTATCGAATCTGTAGGTTTTCTAGAATTGGTAGGTTGCCCACCAACTCTGCCTAAAGGAATGATATGAAGGGAACAGTTTTGTGGTGACTAGTAGGAATGAAACCATGCGGGATTGAAGATGATTTTTGTAATGATGACCAGTAGAACTTTTATTAGGCGAATCAGGTTTTAATCACTCCAGCCTATATCTAATGATTCTATAGGAATGTCCTTTCAAAGGAAATGATAATTTTCGCTATCAGCATATCCAACTCACAGATAGATAATGCTAAATTCCAAGTATCTTGCATTCCAAAAAAGTTAATTTCATTCTTCATAATGTGATTGGAAGATGTTGCTCTGTTTTCATTAGTAAACCATACCACTTTCCATAAAATGTTTTCCAAAGGAAGGGGGAAGTTATGTCTGCAGGCAATTTTATGTGACAAATACATTACGTACCTTCGATATAAAAGGGAAGAATTCCACGGTCCAACATTGCATTTAGTTCTCTTCCATTTCCTCATATTTATCTCCTTTTTCTAAGAGAAAAAAGATCTACACATAATATTACTGGGAATTTTTCCATTAAATAAATATATTTCAGATAATGTTCATCTTCCTAGCAATTGCCATTCTGGGGGCAACGACAGCTCAGCTCCGGGGACACAATAAGTTAGTTTCAGCGATTACCCCTTACACAGCTTTGTTGTCTTACTGTAGTTTTATCACAGCGAACCTGTTGCAAATGTAAAACCAGGGCGCCACCATGGCTCATTCCTTGACATCTTCAGTGGACCTCATACCAGACACCAACTACCCAGTAAGTTCTTACAACTCTTACTGGATGCTTTTTGTTATTGATTGAAGTAAAGGAAAAATGCAGACAAGTAATTTATAGCGTTTTAGCCTACTATCTCAACAGGATCGTGCCCGCGTCTATACCACTTCCACCTCCTCTTCCTTACCCTCCTCACCCTGATTCTCTGCCATACCCTCCTTTACCTCCACTTCCATACCCTCCTCAATCTGCTCCTCCTCCATATCCTCCACAACCTGTTC